TTACAGTTTGCAGCATTTTAAGCCCTGTTTGATTTTGCCAAAAATCAGATTTTAGAGAGATTTTGATAAAAGTTGATGAAACGTGTGATTGAAAAAGTTTATAGAAGTTGTGGACCGATTAAAATTAATTGTTGGCTTAGCTAAACCGAATAGAATTCTTTCTCACTGATAATTGATTATCAGTGGACTCAACATGCAAGTCATTTCCTTCAAGATGAAAAAACCAGGGGGATATGGTCCTTACTTCTCTTTGTATGTACGGCAGTTTTAAGCATAGTTTGAGCATGATTATCTATGCTTAAAACTAAGTAAAAATTATTTTAAGTAAATTTATTTCCGGATAAAGTTATGATTTTCGTAAAAGAATACTTATTTTGAAAGAAAATGACCTGTACATTATTGTCAAAATAGAGAACTAATTTTTAGTTTCTTGCAATAAAGAATATTTGCTAAAAACTTTACTTAATCCCTATTTAACAACTATTTTTAGTGTCTGTTTGACATTCATTAATTTATTTTATGTTTATAACGGGATCATTTTTAACCACACTTTTACAAAATAAAATATTCTACACTTGTACCAAATTTTTTTTCCAATATTTTAACTATGCATTCTCCTAAAAATACTATTCAAAACCCTTTTTCCCAATTAATGAGAATCAAACTTGCTCTAAGAAAACTTTTTTTTTTTTTTATTTTACACTTTGACCTCACCTAGACTTTGTCTTGCCCGAAAGTTTGACCTCCACGCATTACGTTTTTTATAACGTGATCATTAGAGGTGTGGATATGTAATGTTGTAGTTTGATCAAAAAATTAAGTTGTAAAATTTGTTAATATCCATTTTACTTCTAAAAACATAGGTTTATTGTCGAAATTTCTAGTACTACACCAACTTTACATTTTATATGAACATTTTGAACTACGTTTAGTTTTATATATAAATGATCGTTTAAGTTGTGTTTCTTCCATCAATTCTTAGTCGACAAAAGATGACTTGTGTTATCTATTTGCACAATCATATAAAAGTTCAAATAAAAACATGTCATTTTCAAGTGAGTAGATACTACTGCTAAAATTCAATGTGCATTCAATACGTATTCTCTACGTAGTGTTTTTATCTTGGATTTTACTACTTGTACATAAAAAAATGTATACAAATGGATTACATAACATGACTGGAGAGAAAAAATTGGATAAAAAAGTTGATTGTATTTTAAACTGATAAATTTTAGAATGTTATGTGGCATTATGTAATTTATTATGTAGATCTTGATGTATTCCTCCTAAAATGCTCCATTATAGTTGTTGAAAAAGTGTTAAAAAAATAGTGTAATTTCACAATAAACAAACAAAAGTGGGAACTTTTTATAATTATTATGGGACATGTTGTAGTGGATGACAAAAATTAAGACTTTAGCTTTCCTTTTCCTCCGCCGCCTAACACGAGAGTTGACACGTCTTCTAGTTGAATTGACGAGTCTAATAATTATACGATAAAGTTAAATGCATTTTAAATAAATTATTTAATTATATGATGGAAATTGGGTGAAAAATAGTTGTTTTTAAAAGAATATTCAATAGTATTTATAAATAAAAAGTTGGGGAAAGTCCATTTGTTTGCAATTTTTTTCGATGATGCAAGTCTCGTAATCAAAGTGAATTATCAATGTTTTTTCAAAAAAGAGTATAAGCGGAACCGGTACTTTCCAATTTAAAACTTTGTATTCGACTTATTATTGATAAATTTTCTTCATTGAATATGATCAGTACTTAGGGCATGAGACGAGCCACGTGAATTGAAGCGCAAATTACAAAAACAGTGTTTTTTCATTTTTGAAAACTCCAAAGATTTCCGTATCATTAAATTTTGCTACCAAAATGCTTCAATTTATCTAATTATTTGGAATTATTCGATGCACCCAAAAATACTATAAACAGGAAAGGTTTGCCATTTGTCCCTAAACTTTTGTACCAGTAGCAAGTTGGTCGACACCTTTAAAAGAGAGCAAGTTGACCCCTAATTTTTTATTTAATTGCACAATTAGATTGTACCGACTGAAAACCTTCCAAATCTTTGTTATATTCATTACATGGCAATCACAAGTCCAACTTTATAAGCTTCTTAATCCGTATTGGTTTAAAATTATTCGAAGGAGGCATGTTCTTATGACGACCATGTGAATTTTGAAGTAAAATTTGGACAATTTCTATCATTAAGATTGATTACTCAAAAATATATTAGGTTCTGAACAAACTTGCTCATTTCTAGCGACCAACTTGTTGCTAAATCATTAAGTCGGAGACCAACGGTGCAACTAGATATATGTGCCTTGTTGAAAAATGAAATTTTGGTTTAGATAGAGACTTTACCTTTTTCATTATGAAGCACTAATATGTAGTGGAACCAATTCTTTATAATCCCATTACCCAAAAAGTTGTACAAACTTTAAGGGAGGCAAAAGTGGGTTCAAAATAAGCATTTTCAATTGCAAATTATGATGTCTTCATCAGTTTGGTACCCCTAGTTATAAAATGCAATTATTCTCATGCATAGATTGGAAATAATGGAGATGAGCCTTTCAAAAACATATTTAGTACCATGACGAATGACAAATCCCCAAAAACAAAAAAAAACTACAACAACAACAAGAGACGTAACATTTGTTGATGATCATGTCAAATCTAATTTCAAGGAGAGCAACATATGAAATCCATAATGTATAAAGAAGACTTACTGATAAGTGTGTAAAAACACACTTATTTTGCACTCTTTTGGATTTAAATATAAATGAAATTGAATATATTTCTATGCATAATTGTGTAATTTTCACTTTTGTAGGCAAAAACCCCGATAAGAAGGAGAACGGGGCAAAAAGGAGAAGAAAATGACTAAAAGTGTACAACAATTGTGAAGTTGGGGACCAAGTGCATAGGTGCTGAA